CCCGCGGTGGGCATCGCCACCGATCGGCAGCGCCCATTTCAAACCTTCGTCGGGGTTTTGCTCTAACAAGTTCATCAGGCGATTGATCTCTTTATCGCGCTGCGACAACGTGGCCTGATTCAACTGATCCAATCGTTGCTGGGTCCACTGCTTCCATTGCGAAAGCCAGGTCTCGCCACTTCCACTTCCGGCGCCAGGCCCCGCAGGGCCAAACATTCGCTCGACAAACGGTCCCGCGGCAGAAGCCAGATTCAGCCCTGCGTCGAACACCGACAGCCCCATGCGACCGAGCGAATTGCCCATCCCTGGCTGCGGTTCTCCTTCCGGCTTGGGCAATTGATTGAGATCTTTTCCTTTCGTGCCGATCCCATCGCGACCATCTTCCATCACCAACTTCATGTCTGGCGGAATAGCGGGTACGATGGATGCCAACGTGTTCGGCAGCCGCGTCCCAGGCTCACCCCGATCGAACGTTGCTGTTGTCAGTGGCGCAGCCGTTAACAAATGGGCCAGCGTCAGTTGATCGGCGGCTTCGAAGGCAACCAACCCGACGACAGGATGCCAGACGTAGGTTTGCTCGGCAGACAATTCTGCTTCAAGTTCTGCCGCAGTGATGGCCGGATCAAACTTCGCTTCGATCGGCAACAGTACGCGCGATGCTGCTTCTCCGTAGGGCAAACAGGCGCTTGTCGGCGCGTGGCTAGGAGTTTGCTTCGACAACAAGATAGCACCAATTGGGCTACGATCGTCCGCGGCAGTCGGCAGCGGTAAGAGCCGGAGCGAATCGTGATGCTTGGCGGCGTAGCCTTCGACGACGGCGCGAATCCAATCCGACGTATTGCCGCTGTTGACGTACCAGCACGATGTGCCGCGCTGCCGTTTGGGGGTGAACTGAATTTGCAGGGTGGCTTGCATCACAGAAGCTCCCGTACGAAACCAAGGATCACTTGCTCGAAGACTTGCTTTTCGAGCCGATGGGCCTGATTGCCGGTGAAATATTGTTGGC